ATTTCACAATTTTCAAAATACCTTCACTTTTATCGATAACTGAAAAAACAGCCCATAGAACACAAAGCCTAAACTATCAGAAATTCGGAACACATAATTTGAGTGATGGTATAACAAAATAACTCATCATTTGTAAATTCAATCCATCGAAAAAGTATAAAAAAAAACATTTTTATAAACAATTTTTATTATATAAATACACTTTGAAAAGAAACATGATTCATAAACATAAATCTATTTGAATACATTCTCATTACAAATTACACAATACTTAATTTTCAATGAATGGAGTCTCTTCACAGCTCCTGGAATCATGCACACGTGCAAGTACTTCGGTGACACATTTTATAGCTACGCCCAAAATAGTCCATTATTTATTGTGCAACTGTGACCAAACGACATCATTCTGTTAACATCCACACATTTTCATGCACTTTTTGACCATTCATAAGTAAAATACACTACAATTTAACAATTTTCTTGGTACATTCCTACATATTAAATGAGAGGTTCAGACACATTCCAAGCGGAACTCTTTTCTTGGACCAATAACAAAGCTGGTCAATCCTTTCCCAGCAATAACCACTGAAAGCTAAATCTAAAATCTAATTTCAGCCTTTCATAAAATAATGCAAGCTGTCCACACCCCTTGATTCCAAGCTGGTAATGTACATGTATGTGTGCAATATTGATCATTAGTATTCCCTTCAACATTGCTGATAACTGTCATTTTCATGGAATCTGTCCTTTCATTTCAGTATTATATTTACCTATTAGTTGGTGCATTTCTTTAGAGTATTTTGTATCATCTGGAATAGTAAAGTTGCCACTCTGTATAGCCAATGCACTCTCACCAAATGGTAATGTAAAAAAACACAATTTATAAAGCATACATCCAAGTGCCTAGAAAAAGAAAACACCAATGTTGAATAAACAGGTTGTTGAATTGAGAAAATGACTGACAACTGTTCAATATTGTGAATATAATAATTATTCAATGGTTTTAAAATAAATCCATGTGAACATTACATTAGAACTCATTATTTCACTAAAAATCAAAGAAAGTCGTCAAAATATCAAAACAAAAATACCGGTACCAGGGATTTTTTTAAACAAGGGCGCAGCACCCTCGAGTCATGGTATGTGTCCCCTTACCCTGAGGAGCAGATCCTCGGGCAACAGTCTTCAACTGTGACCTGAATTATAGTGCTCCCTCTTGCAATTTTTTTCTAGAAAAACCCCTGCCGGTACCACTGAAAATTAAACAGTTACATAAACAAGCAGCCTGTCGGCTGAGATAGCTCAGCTGTTTCAATTTCAATTAAAGAACTGAAGATATCATTAGAAAATGAACAATATGTATAGAATCAAAGCAATCGGATTTGCTGTATTCAACAAGAATTCGAAAATATCACTTTTTACCAAAAATATTCATCAAAATTAGATAATTGAAGATATCATCATGAAATGAACAAATCTGAGAGAGGTCCACATGTAGTACCTATATATGTAATATCAAAGCAATCAGACTTGCGGTTTTTAACAAGAAGTCGAAAATATCACTTTTTACCAAAAATGACAAAAATATTCACCAAAATTTGAAAATATTCTTGCGGTTTTGAAGAAAAAGTCGAAATTGTAAAGTTGACGACAACGGACAATAAGTAATATGAACAGCTCCGCTGTGTCGACTTTGTCGATAGTGGAGCTAAAAACAAGCCATACATGGCACAGTCCCCGTTAGTTGTCAAATTTTAGATGTATAGTTTTGTTTATACAGTACAATGTGCACACAAGGACCCAAGTGTTCTCGCCATTGGCGAGGCAATGGCGAGGCCATGTCCCGCCAATGTCGAGTCAATGGCGTGCCAGTGGCGAGGTCATTAAAGGGCTCGCCCTCAAAAAAGCGAGCCCAAGATCGAGCTCGTCGCGGTCAGTTAAATACGGCACGCCTTATTTAACTCGACACGATCACCGGCGCGACCGGTATTTCTTGGAACACCAAAACATAAAATATCACTTCAGCGTGGTTACAAGAGTGTTGTTTGAAAAGTTAACAAATGTTTGTTTTGTTGATTTCATCATTAAGATTTGTCAGATTGAATTATTTCCCCGAGTGGACCTTAATCTTTGCAGACCGATCGTTTTGTGAGATTTGCGTGGGTATGTGTACGTGTATCTGATTGTCGATTTCATATCATTGGTAGTTGTAAAAATAAAACAAAACAAAAACACTCTGTGCCGAAACCTCAGTGACAACACGATTTCCAAATATATGTTATCATGTTGTTTTGATGGGCGCTTCTATCGGCGCGCCACCAGGGCGCACCTCACATTTACACATCACACTTTGAACCTTAGTGACTCTGATGTCCACTGAATATGTACTTTTGCACATACATTTGTATGTTGGTTATTAGTGTTGTGTATTACACAGGGACATGTTTAATGTATGTCAGCGCGTATCTTGTTTTTATTCTTTTCAAACCCATTTGCGTGTTTTCATATGCGGTGTGCAGAGTTACTAACCATTGGTGTAACATGCAATTCACTTGTAGAGTCGGCACATCGCAAAATGCGGGCTTCTGCTTGGATGAGGGACTGATCAGTGTCACTTAGAATTTAAACGCCAGTTGTGTCAGAGTTTCCGACGTGAATAATATGTGTGCCTGTGTGACTTTATGGTGGTGTAACTTTATTTCAATAAAAAAAAATGATTGAATGAAGTACAGAAATATCATCACGACCAGCGTGAAGCATAACAAATGTTTTATGTGTACTGAATTATTGCAAAAAACTGTTTTACTATAGTTGTTATTATGGATGATGTGTTGGTTCTGATAGGGACCATTTGGTTAGTATATGAGAGGACGTTCCAGTGTTTTAACAGCAGTGGCGAAAAGCTTTCAGAAAAATACTCAGCAGCAGAGGACCTTTTTTTTTTCACTCTGGTTGTGGTCAACGTCTCGCCCAGTTCGTATGGCTGGTCGCCCACTATCTACATGCCGTCGACGTAGTGGCGAGACCAAACAGCAAGAACCCCGTATATGCTTTAACTGTAACTGTAACTGCAGCAGAGGAAACAAATGTTTAATGTTTAAATTTACTTTCTTTTATGACCATGTCGACCTTAGTACTGAGACCTCTCAGGCAGTGAATGAGTTATTACAAGAAACCATTTGTACCGGTCTTTTTGGCAGTCTCACTTCGACGTTTACGTTTATAACAGGCGGCTGTATGTTAAGAAATGTCGCGCTGTGTAAACTTGCCCCAATTTTTATTATTGACAGGAAAACAGTTCTTCAACGTTTTTTTTTTTTTTTTTTTTTTTAAATAAAACATCTGCTGTTCATAGTATTATCAAGACCGTTGACATGTTTTAGTTTGGCATACAAACTTTTCAAAAAAAAAAAAAAACGTTTTCCCGAAATTTTCAAACTGTCTGGAAATCACCCCAAACCAGGAACGGTTAACTAGGCACACATACAAACATCATATTTTTCACCCGTTTTTCGCAAAAATAAAACAACTGTCATCAAAAATAATAATATTTTCTATTTGAATCCGAAACTGTCTGGAAATCATTCCTAGGTCACTTTGATGAACCTAAGTGTGTCGTTGGGGCCAAACGGGTGACCTATGTTAATCATCTCACCGTTGCGTGAATTACTTATTTTTGATTGGCCAAGAGACTTTAGGTAACAAAAAAACGAATCTGACGACGTTCGTGCTTGACAAAATTATTGTAAAGTAAAAACAATTCACCCGTGCATACTAATGGGGGTTACCATTTTTTGACTGCCTGCTACGACAAACACGGTTTTACACACGACGTTTTAAATAAATTAGAGGTGAGGATACATTGTTTGAAATCGTTGGTCCTTTTTTTGTTTATCTTATCCGCTCCTGTTTGTTTCACAAATTAGTCGTTTGCATATCAATATGTCCGATGCAAGGTCACGCTATCACTTTGGAAACAGGTCATTTTGGGGTTTTCATCTGCCGATTTTACTAAACTAGAGCTCGTCTTTTTTCAAATTTGTTTGCAATTTCTTCTTATTTTTTGATTACCCTACAAGTGTTACAAGTGTTTTTCAAATTATTAGCGTCTTTTAACAAAAATAGTGTAAGTTTAGTGTCATCTGATTAATGCTAAACCACAGTCCCTCCCTTGTTGACAGACTGTGACTAACCACAGCTCTAACATAAATACCTCCATGGTTCAGGCAAACTATTATTGTTTTCCAACATGTGACCTTTTGTTTGGATTCAGTACGTTACTTTTCAAAACACGGCGCATGGATACAACTGCCGAGACGCATCCACTGAACTAATAGGAAGCGTGAATCTTTTTTAGTTACCGTGCGTGAATAAACAGCGTCCTAGCACAGTAATAATTGTGTAATTTATTTATTTTTTCAGACGACTCTAAAATATATATACATGTACTAGTACGTTACTGGGGCGTTCTGTGTCCATTTAGATTGAAAGCTGAAAATAAGTATGCCAATTGTAATAATACTACCATATAAATGCAAGAGCAACACACGCGCCATTATTTTAGATCTCCCGTGCGAACGACATAAACAATTGCGACCTTCTGATGTTACAATTAGTGCTAAGCAGGCGTCAAATAAAAAATCCCTTTTCGAGACACCATTTAATAATTCGACAGGGATTTTTAATTTGAAAACGTCTTGCATAATTTCTGTGACGTTAGGTGCCGACCAAGTGGTTTCATTGACCTCTGACTGAACTTTGAAGAAAACGTACATCATGCCTACGTGATGCCACCACGTAATTTAAATGATCAATTTTACTTTGTCGTGGCATTTTACCTCTTTAAACGTCTCAAATGCCTTGAGTATAATTATAGTGAGTTACAGTTGGAATTTAGGCGAGTAAAAAGGTTTGTGACGATTATTATGTTGTGTAATGAGACCCGTTTTACAAGATCGGGGTTGGGTGATTCGGAGTGACATTTGTTATCTTACGGTGAACCATGGTCGGTTCACGCATCAAATTCAGACTCAGACTCGAGATGCCATTGAGTTTTAATTTAGCAACTGCAACACTACTTGTACGCAAGACAAGACAAGCAGAACAGGACAGGGTACACAACAATTCAATCCCCGGTTAACTTTTTCAGTAACCGTTTCCAACTCGCAAATCAACAAACACGCACAAATTTCAATGTTTAATTTACCACTGGCCACGCTATTTGCAACACATTACGCAATTTATCCGTTATTTAATCTACATTCATAAACAATGTAGAGAACTGATACTATGTTTTCTGTGTGGTGAAAAAAACATCGGTCGCGCCCGTGATCGCGCCGAGTATAATAAGGTGCGCCGTATCTAACTAATCGCGCCGAGCTCGACCTTGGGCTCGCTTCTTTGAGAGCGAGCCTTTCAACAGCCTCGCCACTGGTACGCCACTGGCACGCCATTGGCGAGACATGGCCTCACCATGGTCTCGCCACTGGCGAGAAAATTGGGACCTTGTGTGCACATTGTACTGTAGTAATATAGTTGGAATATAAACATTTCAAAGATATAGCTGATGATTTTTTAACATTAAAATTACTGACATTCGGTCATCTGGTATATGATCGTACAACAAGTACTTCTCCATATTGCTCTGCAACAGCATTATTTATAGCAAAATGGCCACCGGTCGGCCATTTATTATCGTGCCAAGTTTGAACAAAATCCATATGTAAACAGTAGAGATCCGGTTCTGGAATGCCAAAAATGCTTGATTATGAAATTAATCTTTACATCCCTAAAATATACTTACCCAAATATCAGCTTTTGTTGATATCTGTTTATCGTTATACAAATCAATCATTTCTGGTGAACGATAAGATAATGTGGTATATCTGAAAGAAAGAAAATGCATTTTCTAAAACCTGAAAAATATCCTGATATAATACAAATGTATGTTCTCTAAAATTAAGAGGTACAGTGTTAATAAATTTGAATAAAACACCTACTTTTCTATTTCTTCTTTACATTTAGAAGCTCCTTGTACTAACGGATTAAGTACCTTAGGGGTAGCACTTCCAAAATCACACAACATGTAACAACTAGATTCTGGATGCAGTAAAATATTTTCAATCTGAAATAAAAAGCAATTAATGAGCAACATCTGTTATTCTTCTTAGCATCATTGCTGTATAATCATTAATTATTGTTTCTTTTACCAAGTTTGAAAGAAAATCTTGCAATCAATATTCAACACCTCAGTGAAATTTAAACACCAAATTTTGTTTCATTTTATTAAGAAGCTTTTTAAATATAACCAGAAAACATTGTGCAAATTTGGTAATTAATATCACATATTTCAACCAAAAACTAATCAGGTCTGTGGATTATCTCAGCAAAAAATTTCAAAACAATTGATGATGGGTTTTTGAGATATCAGTACAGACAGGCCATGAAGACACAGACAGAATAAACTGCAAGACTCGCATAGTAAACAAGCCATGCATGGCACAGTCTCTGTAAAATTATCAAATCTAAATTATATAATTTTGCTTATAGTAACTTAGTACAATACAGTACAGTTCTCGCGGAAGCTTTGGCTTCACTTCAGCATCAGCTTCGCTTCAGCATTGCATCATTATGGCATTGTTATGGCTTCAGCGTCGCTTCAATGTCGCGACATAAAAAGTTGAGGCGGTGATTGCTTCGCTTCATTGTGGCCTCATTATGGCGACAATGTGGCATCAGCATCGCTTCATCAAACAAAGAAGTACAGAACCCATTTCACCCAACCTCTCGCACGCTTCCGCTTTTCAATCGCTCGCTTTTGCGATCGCTTGTTGAATTTCCGCTTTATTTTCGACTGTGCATAGATCACAGTTACCGTGCATAGATGTTGAACAACCGTCAAAAGTTCAAATACTTTTCATTTTAACTATCTATAATTCTATGCACGCAATCTGACCATTTGACCTAGATTTGGCTGGGATTGACGATTTTATTTTAAACAACTTATTCTGACGTGACGCACTGCTACAAAATGTATTTCAACAGAAGTACGACATGGTTGTCTGGGTTTCTTTTCCTGACTGTGTTGAGTTTATGATTTGTATAATTATTGTTATTTCCCCCAAGGAGAAGACAAGCCGAAGGACCATGAAGCTAAATAGAAGTCCCACGCATGGACTGAGTGAAAGAAAATATTTCTAAGGCTAAAATAAAACCTAATATCTCTTTGTGTATTTGTCAATTTTGCATATATTTAGTATGACAGTATGTTCGTAAATATCTGGAAAAATCTCGTCTTTCGTTAATAATTTCATTTGTTTGAAATGTCTACCGCCCGTGTCCCAATAATTTGTTTGGAATATCCCCGTTGGTTTCTCCAAACGGTCCCGACGTTCGTCATTCAACACAATCAGCATTTATTTATCGTAATTCATGGGGATCATGTCCTGTAATTTGCGGGCTGTAAAACCAAATAATTAAACAAGTACTATTTATTATATCTATATTTTTGTTATACATGTACCTCGCAAAACTACAACACGGCATAGAGTTGTCATGGTGAAACAGTCGCGTTGAAATCGATGGAACTTCAATTATCCATTTCTCACCTTGAAATAAAATTTAAAAAAATCGAAGAGCATCAGGGGATATATTATTAACCAGTCTTACCAATCGCTAGCTTTATTTTATTCAAATCCATAAAATTCACGAGTTTTTCGACATTTGTTGGCAACTTCCGCGCCAAATATGATTGAAAGTGTGGATGTGGTTCTCTCGCAAAGTCCCGTTGATAATACGGACAAATCTGGTTCTGTGACCCAGGTTGTGTGCACTGATCAGGTGACTCAGCCAATCAATGATGTTGTAACAAAGCATATTTGACGCTAATTTAAGGGTCGTCGTACCATCCAATCTCCTGCGTCGATTCACATAGTTTGTTTGTGCTGTGACAGGCTTCACAATTATTCACTAAAAAACATTGGTATATTTTGACAAACGGCCGGGATTTGACCTCAGTTCAAAAAAAGAAAAAGAAAACTGGG